GAAATAGACGAGACATTTTCAAAATAAATTGTAATTAAACTCAATAACTTATCCATTTGAATTACTATTCCTAAACTATTCAACATCAATTATCATCCTAATTTAACTTCTTTTGATGGTCAGTCACAATGTTATTATTTTGCTATCGTTTACTGTAACTTTGGATCTGAAATGCTTTTACTCTTATCCATTTTTCCCTCAATATTTTGCTAAACCTACTAGAGCTACAACACTAAACAGTACATCATAATATTGATTTCTTAATATCTGCCACAAGCCTACACTGTACTGCACAAAAATGATACAAGCAATATTAGACAGCTCCTTATATAAAAGATAATAAAACTCCCCTTATCACAATGTACCCAATGACTGTGCAAATTATTCAGAATGACCAGGCATCAATAGTGCATTGTGGGGACAAAGATTGGTGCTTACGTCATAGGTAGAGAGAGCCTGGGCAGCTGGAAGCAAACGTGTGTATTAAAAGGGATTATCAGAATAAGTGCTTCATAACTCTTTCTTTGAAATGTCAACTGGTATTCCAAGGTGGGCAGTGAGTGGTAAACCATCTAAATATATTAAATCTATATCACGCCTTAATGATTTCTCAGTTGTAGACAGCTATTCCACGCTTGTAGATGAAATTACCTTCATCTTTAAAAAAAATCAACTATATACCGTATATACATGTATATATTTGTTTCCATCACTTATTTTACCAAATTTCCTATCAGTTCATTGACTGTCGATTACCCCGGCATAATCGACATAAACCCATTACGTTTTATCGGAATCAATCACACAAGGGCCTTCTGATCACCTCATATCTGAATAAGTAATTTTCCCCTTCTATTAAAAAAAAACAACAACAACAACATAGGAGTCATATCCTACATTTGGTTCAAATTAATGATTTGACCTTTGACATTATTACTACCAGAATCAACCTCACAAGATGTTTGATTTTAATTTTGATCACCTCATATCTGAATAAGTAATTTTCCCCTTCTATTAAAAAAAACAACAACAACATAGGAGTCAAATCATACATTTGGTTCAAATTAATTATTTGACCTTTGACATTATTACTCCTACAAAATCTAGGGTTTATTTTCTCCTCACACAAGATACATACCGGTATATTGGTATAGAAATGAAGCAGGATAGACAGACGACTGTCGACTTCAAAACATAGTTAATGGCTCTAGAAGCAAAATCTTTCGCAGGCAGAGATTTGAATGGCACAATTCCATAGTCTCCAACAGAGTCTAACTGAAAGTACAGTTAGTCAGCTACAATATAGGGCCCAAACAGTGCATTGGCTTCAATTTTCATTACAACTTATAACGGTACAAGTTTAATAGTTCAAGATATAGGCAAATGATCTCCTCTGTGTCATCTTGGTACTTCTTTCACTTTCAATTCAGTGTACATGTAGGTTCACGATCTACTATTACTATGCGTTTCTCGTAACTATCGTAACTTACAAGATCAACGAAATCTTGATGCTGGTTGCTTACCTATTGTAAAAGCATACACATGCTTTCTTGGCAGCCAAGCCAGTCGGGTAAACAAATCAATATTTTTAAGCCAAATATCTTTCTCATCATTTATGTAATTGGTTCCATCTTTTCAAATTTTAACCATCCTGTTACCCTTACTTTCTGCTTTCAATAGAAAGATCTGTCTCATTGGAGGAGTTAAATGTTTTGTCTTTTGACGTTCTCCGGAGTCGGTGAAGCCAGATGTAATCACACATAGCTGCATTACTATCCTGGCTGTGTATTAAAACCTAAAAATCGGTACTTTAGTTCAGTGAAAATTGATGACACCTTAAAGGTAATACAAAGTTTTGGGAGATTTTGAAATTGGTTGGTTAGATAGAAAATTTAGCCCCTACCCTAAACACTTCTGCTTTCGAAAATAATTGAACGTTAAAATTTACCGGTGCTCCCGGTAAATTTTGATTAATTTCAAATAGCGCCTATACGGCCTCACAATATTAGCTGCGACCATGAAAATCTCAGAATATGTAGTTGTGATATATAATTTCCAAACAGGAATAGCTAATCAGTCGATTTTAGTCAAGAAACATTGTTTTATAGCTTAATTAATATCTTGACCTTGAGAGGGAGCTATACAACATAAAGAGTTGATTATTTACAATTTCATAACTTTAGACTCGATTTCAACCGCGACAACGATCGTTGAATATTGTAGGATCGCATATATGCTTCCAATATATGTTCATTTGAACCAAATTCATGACCCCATACCAAAACTTATTATATACCTCACTTAAGAAATCCAGCCATCTGATTGGTCGAAATTGCAGTCATAAACTTTAACTATTCCTGTAAAATTCCCGGTAAAATTCCAGTTACCATGGTTACCGGGAAAATAGTTCAGTCTTGGTGAAATACCCATAGGTTCACATGTTAAAAACTGGTTTGAGCAATCGAGGATACCGTACGTGTGCGAAGAATTGGTCGGTAATTTTAATCTCGATCAAACTCGATCAAACAAGGCAAAAATGGCTGAAGAAACTCTCCCAAGATTTCAACTTCTTGATGATCAATTGCAAGACTTGCTGACAGCAAGAACACCAAAAAGGGTACGTGAAACTCTCCATAATTTTTTTCTCAAAATAGATCTAGAGTCTAGTAGGCCTAGATTCTAGTAGATGTCTAGGTCTAGTAGTGCTAAAATCCTTCCTGTAGAGATTGCACACATCCCTATGCATTGGCCATTGCGTACTCCTGCTAAATTGGTTGATGTTTTAATTACCAGAGATTCAAACTAATATTGCTCGTGATCCTGAAGGTGATACTCAATATTAAGTGAGGTGTCATATGAAAGCGCAGTTTTTTTTTCTATATTCCCCACAGGGCCGCCCCCCCCCCCCAAAAAAAAAACAAAAACAAAAAAAAAAATTGTAAAAATATCTTGCTTAGACTAGAATCTAGATCTAGTCTACTCTCAATGATAGCCTACACTCATAAAAAACAACCGTGCAGATAAACGAGAGAAAGGCCAAGGTGGTGTCATAGGTTGACTCTTTTTTTTTTGGCATATAAAAGTATTAATGACTGCTTTAATATTCGAGAAATAGTATACAAATAACGCACGTCCCAGAGTGCAATAGCGGTGAATGCAGTACACGCGAGGTTTCTTTAGATTGGTGCCGCTCTGTGCAACGAGCCGCTTGCGGCGAGTTGACAGTGCGAACCAGCTGAAGAAACCGAGCGTTTACTGCATTTACGTTTTGCACAACAGGGTCAAGTGCGTTATTTGTTTTATAAAATAGCGACACAAATAGCAAAAACGAAACTTTAGATCTAATAAGTTATAGAGTCTACGAGAGTTCGATCTAGATCTAGAGTTATGTTGGTTCTACTTCTAATTAGACTAAGACCTTGCAGGCTTACCAAAAAGTCAATGGGATTCATTGCCTTGGCTTGATTAAAAATAAAATCCATACAGTGGGTCTAGAGACGAGTCTACATCAGACAGCTGAAATTCCTGGCTTCATTATAAAATCCAAAAGTCAAAACAGGCCTAAATCCAAGGGAAAAGTAAAATAAAAATTTGCTTTTTAATAATACCCCGCTGGCCGCTCTAGCTAGCTAGCTAGAGCTAGCTACGCGTACGTTGCGCTGGGGATCATGGTGGAGCGTACAATATTAGCTACGCGTAGCCTACAATAATTGCAATGCAACTCGAGGGAGCGCGTACTACACGTACGCGCGCGCACTGGATCTCCATGGTCACGCGTACGCAATATAACTTTTTACTGCGCTTTTTCTGCACTCATTTCTGCAAAATCGTGCTTGCATCAAATTTTTTTCAATGTCATGTGACGCGTATTGACCAATCACGATGCTTAAAATACTAGAGCCATTTTATAATTGTTTTTATACGCTCTCGGGAAGGTTACAATTGGGCTATTGCCCTCGGCACACCTCAGGCAATAGCATAATTCTAACCTTCCAGAGCGTATTATAACAACTATTTCTCTCAAAGCAGTCATTAATACTCTTTAGTACTACCTTTAATAGCAGTAAAATACCATTTGTTCAACTTGAAAATTCAAATCGTGAGTCTACTGGCAAACTTGCTTACAGCCACATCGTCTTCAGTGCGTGCATTTGTGTGTTATCGTTATGTGTGTATTGACTATTCATGTGGATCTGAGACATTACGGTAGATAACTTCACACAGGCGCGCGCCCGCAACCCACCACCGGTATGCACTTGTATTGTGCAGCGCTTTGCCGTGAAACCTGTGAAAAAGTGTATACTAATATCAACGTTTAACCGTAAAATACTCCAAAAATAACAAGAAAATTGACACGAAACAGGAAATAAACATAGGTCTAGTCTAACAAATTTTAACTCATGATCTTTGGACATTTAGGCCCTAGGCTAAATAATATTTATTTCATTTTGGATATGGTATCTCCACGGCAGAGTTACAGGTCAAATTTTGGATAGGTTTCTGAACAAGCTCCGCCTAACCTGTGATTTGTGAATCTGAAATTGAAAAAGTATTAGTAGTCTAGACCCTAGACTAGAATTTTGTCCAATCGGTGCCTGAAAAACATCCCTTTTTAATTTTATGGAAAACATCGACGCCGTCGTATAGCTGAAAAAGACACCCTTTCGCCGCTTTCTCTAGACGCGGGTGCGTAGCCAGTCATGTTGGGGATAGACTCCATCCACATGTAGGCCCTAGGGCCTAAGCTAATTTGAAACAAGTCAAGTGGGGAAAAGACTCCTACTCCTAGCCTAGGGCTAAGTCTAGGCCTACAAAATAAATGATAACTGAACAACTTACAAAATGTAGATTGATAGACCTAGAATCTAGGCCTAATCTCTTTCTCTTATATTGACCATGTTGACGATCTACTAAACAGGTTAATGACATGCATGTTCATGTAAAAAGACAGAAACATAGCAAAAATATTTAGACTAGGGTCTAGACTTCTATTCACAAACCTTTTTACAGAATGGGCAATATGTCTTGCTGAAGATCATCACATCGTTGGATTGAATATGATCCATCACAACAGCCCGCGATGTTGGGGCGGCAGGCGCCATTTTTCCTGTTTGGCAACCCAATTTGTCGATGTTTCTGATATCCTATTAATCTACACTGCGAAACGGCATCCGATTGCGTAATCAACTTGAATCTTTGTTTTTAAAATATGAACAAGTGTGAATTTTTACATGATCTAAATAGATCTACTAGACGAGTACGGTGCGACTCCGAGTCGGTCGATATGAGCGGCAATGATATTATCATGATTATGTAGGCTACTAGTACTAGGCGCATATGCTGGGATCGAGCGCGCGCTAGCGCGAGCCTACGATTCAAACTACATGTTGTGTAACACATGGGCTAGCTGCACGTGCAAAAAAGGGCGCGCTCGTCGAATAGATTGATTACAAGTTTCAAAGAACCTAGCAGAGGCTCTCCTTAGCCATTTCCCATGAAAGCTCGAAATGGTCCGAAACATGGGATGCCATTCGCCCGAAAATTCGAACGGTCGATCGTATGTATAATATAATTGCTGGAAAGCTGGACAGGTGACTCAAACATGTCTCAATTTTGTTTCAGACTCAGAAAATCTACTCCTAAAATGTACAATAATGACACGCATCTATACTCGAAGAAAAGGAGACAGTTTACAACAAACAAACCCCCCGGGCCAGTGCTTCCCTGGTTAAAATAAATTTCCCTGAGAAAGAACAACCAATTTGATGGGGTATATATCTATTGGTAAACAAGTTTGTCAAATACGTTTTTTCTTCACCTACAGGTATACACAATATAACTGAGATAAACTTGGAGTTAGCAACTCCATGGATAAATCGAGCTCCTATATCAAAAGGTGCTTGTGAAAGTAGGCCTGACATAATTAAATGCAGTCAAAAAGAATGAATCATTGGCAAAGAATTATACAGTCATTACTTTCTTGGCGATCGGAGCTATAGGCTGGGTCATTAGCAACTTGTTCTTTTCTAGATTAATCAAATGACATTTAAATTTACCCTGGCCTATGATAACAAAATAAAAATCCGGACACAAATAAAAAAATAAAGAATGATCTATGATGACAATTTGTATAATATTTTGTTTATTTGTCAGAAAAACGGCAGATAGAGCTAGAATGGACAAAAATTACAAAATTGAAGAACAGTTTACAAATTTGGTTCACAAAATAGTTATAAGGCACATACAAGAATGCAATACATGTATTGCACAATACATTTCTATTGCTAACAGCTATAATCTAACACATATTTTTATTTTATTTTTTTAATCACAACTGGTCAAGTGATATTGTTAACTAAACAGCCTGCATATATATATAAATATCATATTCGAGTTCCATCATGATATATTTATATCTGAAGGTAGAATATCTTTTTTTTTTGTAACTTAATTGGTCTTGGAGACATGACTGGATATAGGCATAATAAGGCATAATAATAATAATAATAATAATAATAGCCTAATAGTCCACTCCAAATTTTATTAAACCGAAACAGAATTTTTTTTTGCCCAATTGATCGTGAGCCCGGCAGCCACTGAGCAGCGCCAGATCGATGTTGCTCTATACCTTATTTTTGAATGCCAAACAAGGTAGCAACAACTCCCATCTTTTAACGTCTTTTGGTATGACGCGGCCGGGGTTCGAACCCACGACCTCCCGGTTGTGAGGCGGACGCTCTACTGACTGAGCCAACACTCCGGTATGCGGGAATATAAAATTTAGTGATCAAATGTAAAGCATATTTTACGTTACTTGTATAGTTTTCAGCTCAAAATAGAGAACTTTCTGTTTCTTTGATCAACAAATATATACAGGCATACATGTACACATATTCTCAATTAAGTAATGACAAAAACAGGAGAGAAATGAACTATATATAATGTTTCTAACTTGACAGCTGCCTGTATATAAATATCATATTCTAGATTCATCATAATGTTTATATCTGAAGGCAGAATATATTTTTTTTGTAACTTAATTGGTCTTGGAGACATGAAGATCAGGCATAATAAGGCACTGAATATGAAATGTAATGATAAAATGTAAGGCATTATACCTAACTTGTATAGTTTTCAGCTCAAAAGAGAGAACTTTCTGTTTCTTTGATCAACAAATATAACATTACAAGAATAATTTGTATACATGTTTCTCAGTAATGAAAAAAACAGGAGAGATATGTTTATGTTACAATTCAGAATATAGCATTATGGCTGGTTGCTGATCAAATGGCATATTTTGTTTAAAGGATTACACGGAGTATAATGACGGTACTGGCTGTAAACACGCATATCAAGCTCAAAAAACTTGACTCCCAACTTCAGCTTGCCGTGATACACACATTTTTAGGATGAACGAGAGGCACTTTGATGTTAAAAATATAAAATTTTGAATCTTTAGAAAAAATAAAAGCTGGGCTGCATAAAACATAAAACAGTAGCCATTTAAATTTCCCTTGGAAATCATTATCACTAGAATAATTACTAGAATATCACTAGAATAATCATTATTAACTCACTAATAAGTGACCTTATGCTTGAACTATATACACATAATGAAACTTACTGGAAATGTTTAATTAAGGAGCTTAGATTCAGTCATCATATCTCCAATATCAGAACCTTTAAATGGGTGATTGAAATTTAAATACGTTGAATGTAAGCTGAAATTGATTTCTTCTCTTATTAAAAAAAATCTTTTTCTATTAATGGAAGAAGGAAGACGTGAGAAGAAGATAAGTGAAAGTTTCAGAAACACTACACAAAATGTCAAGAGAGATATATGGGAATCTTCTATTGGAGACTTATTCATGTATATATGCGAAATGTTATACATGGAAAATTTGCTTTTTTTAATTCAAATCTACCGTATGCCCAAAATACTAAAAGCAGTTCTTTAAAAAAAAAAAAATCTGCATTTTAAATCGGAAGACATGTCAAGAATATTTACCCAAAATGTTAGAATTATGGAGAACAAAACATATTCTGTCATCAGAGAATGATGATCAAATAATGGGGAAATATTAAAATTGCCAATGAGAGATTTACCATTATCATTAGTGATAAACTTTTCATAACTTTTTTCTACCTGCTTCTCTAATTCTTCTAAAATCTTTATTATTCCATTGATTTTATAGTTTCTACTCATTTCAAGTCCCATGATGGCTTCATTCTCTCTCTTTTAAAATATGAACTGTAATAGCAAAACTGCTAAGTATCTTTCACATAAATAGTGTTTTTCTGAATTGTCATGCCATATGCTACACAATTAATACATTTTGGAATGCAATCTCCCAAAAGGTCGTGTGACTTCCAAAACTATGCAGGTGGACCTTTTCATTCCAATTAAAGGCACCTACATGAAAAATCAGATAACACAAATCTAATTTGTACACATCTAAAAGCATATATCTTGTATTTTATTTCCCCCTAGTCATATTCCTGCCATGAATATATCAGTTCGATGTTACACAATAATACATTAATTTGATTGGGTATCTTAGTGGGAAGCAGACTTTAATAATAGATCGTAATTGAATGACAGGTCCATTTTGCCTTGACCTTGAGCTCAGGTAATCTGTCTATATCTCATGTAACCATGGCAATACAAAATAATAACATTGGGAAGGATGAAAGGGGTGCTATGGTTTTTAGGGTAGAGGTGAGATTTGATTATGAAGGTCAATGTTAAGAGGTTAGGAGATTAACAAATCCCCCGCTCATAATTTAATTAGTTATGCAGAAAGCATCCGACTCTATGCTTTTAATCTTTTAATGGAACTCTCTCTGAAAATATTTCTCTTTCTCTCTCTCTCTCTCCCACACACACGGACAAGATATGTGACAGTGAATTATAATAAATCTAATATTGTTAGAGTTTCAAATCCTTGCCCCTGGAATTCTGGAATGATCATGAGGCTGTAAAATATATGACTTGGCAAATTTGAATGTGTCATAAAAAAGGTCACTGGTTTCAACAGTGCATGACATAGTCACTAAGGGTAGTGGGGTACGATATAAAGACATACATTTCATACACAGAAATCTACAGTATATTCCTGATACATTAAAATACACAGGATAAGTAACATTTGTAGGATATCAAATGTAAACAAAATTTATCAATAGGCAGCAGAAATTAGGCATGCAAGTAGGGTGGTTCAGTTCTGAAGAAGTATACAAATGTAAAAATTGACCGAAACAATATCTTATTTTTTGATGTGAGAAATTCATAAGTGATATTTGTACCATAGATATCATATAATTCATATGCAGTCCACGATGAAAGCCACAGGATTGCAAAGAGAAACAGCTATATTACGATTGGATTGTCAAACACAAGATAATGACGTACAATATATTCGCCAGATGTCAGGCATTGTCTCACAATACAAACAATTTGAACATACAATAAACATATAATTTCAGAAAGACGGAGGACGTGGAAGAGCCCAAAAAATAATCAGTACACATTTTGAGAGATAGCTTTCTAGATCCAAAAACTATTAATAAATTAAATAAAACCATGTTCACTTTTTAGCTAGATGGATATTGAAACAACTTTTATGACTGGCATAATTGGTTTTCAGTTTCTTACCGGCAAATGTGATTACCCTATTTATGGTAACTCAATAAATTAATACATTTCAACTATGCCATTATAGTAGTTCTCTTGGTTTTCTATCATGAGGTATTGAATTCATAGTCACACATATAAATCTAATATTAGTGATTGTTAAATTCAATGACTTTGAAAATGAAATTATTCTCATCAATTCTAACAAGATTTGCCAAAATAACAACAAATATTGCAGACTACTAAAAGTGGTATCATTTAAAGTGGACTTTTAATGATTTTGAATATTGATTTAATTTGTTGCATTGCAAACAGGAAATTAAGACCGAACAAGATTGTCAAAATTTCCCACTTGGAAACATTCAAAGAAACAATTTTCATCAATGTCAAAATGGTGAACTGCTGCCCCACTTTCGCACTTGAATAGCTCTACCGAACACTGCAGAGATTTGTGACGTCACTCAAGAGACTAGCTTAAGCAGACATGGACCTACCAGTCCATGAGCAGACGATGTCCTTTCTGTATTCTGCTCTGTAAAGCATACAGAGACATGCAATTCTCGCCATTGCCAATACCCCCAAATGCCTGGACGTGTAACTCTTGGATGTAATTTCGAGCTACATTTTTTTCCCCGTTTATTTTTGTGAAACCAGCACGCAGCAGATTCACAATATCGCACCGTATTCTAACTAACAATTCCATTTATAAACTAGATGGAATTTTGACTGCGCGCAGTCAAAAATGATGCCTCCGCCATAGAGCAACTTTACAAACCAAAACGGAAGCAATTTTTAAAATTCAAGTTTGATTGTAATCCATCTGTCGGTTTTAATAATAATGCATTCACAAGCTATTTATAGTCATACATAATGAGCCCCATGACCTTTGACCTGATGACCCTAAAATCTAATCAGTTAATTGGCTCTCCAAGATACATATATACATGTCTTGAGTTTGATAGTAATCTGTCTATTGGTTCTCATTATAATGCGATCACAAGCTATTTGTGCATACATAATGAGCCCTGTGACCTTTGACCTCGTGACCCCAAAATATAATCAGTCCATTGGCTCTGTTAGATACATACATGACCCAAGTTTGGCAGGAATCCATTGACCGGTTCTTGAGATAACGCGATCACGAGCTATTTTTGTAGACATAATGAGCCCTGTGACCTTCGACCTCGTGACCCCAAAATATAATCAGTCCATTGGCTCTGTTAGATACATACATGACCCAAGTTTGGCACGAATCCATCGATCGGTTCTTGAGATATTGCGATCACAAGCTATTTTTGAATACATAATGAGCCCTGTGACCTTTGACCTCCGACCTCGTGACCCCGAAATCTAATCAGTTCATTGGCTCTGTTAGATACATATATGACCCAAGTTTGGCAGGAATCCATTGATCGGTTCTTGAGATATTGCGATCACAAGCTATTTTTGAATACATAATGAGCCCTGTGACCTTTGACCTTCGACCTCGTGACTCCAAAATCTAATCAGTTCATTGGCTCTGCAAGATACATACATGATCCAAGTTTAGAGAGAATCCATCAATTGGTTCTTGAGATAACGCGATCACGAGAACGGGACGTACGGACGGACGGACAACCAGAAAACATAATGCCTCTGGCTACTTTGTAGCGGAGGCATAAAAACAGAATTCAATGAAAGTCTACTTTAAGTGATATATCTGATTTCAGTAATGACCAATAAAGGCTCAATGAAGTAAAGGTGATAGTCACCCTAAGACAGAATTCTAAAATGCAATGAGATTTAAAATTTTCTTCCTTTCATTGTCAGAACTCGTGATTACCTTCAGCAAGTGGTTAGTTTACCCATGTCTGTAACAGACGCCCTGATTTGTATCGTAATATTCGGCACTTTGTTTGTTTCTTCGTATAATTTAGCAGCATAATCTAATCAGAGACTACCATGGTTAGTATATAATCACACATCTTAAATATATTAAAACTAGATTTACTTTCCTATTTCAATAAAACACACATCAATCACGTGAACAAATTTACAGTGTTTATAAAAATTGTAAAAAAATGTGCATAGAAATCTTGCATTTTGGCAGTTTTACTTTACTTATACATGTGTATATAGCTTGATTCCTTATAAAATATCATATAGAGTATAAAATATTCACATATTCATACCTGAATTTCATATATTTGATCCAGTATTTCAATTCTACAATAAAAAATATCTTTCACAAAACAAAGATATTTCATAGAAATCCATATTTCTGATATAAAAATTCCTTGATTACGAGGACAACTTAAATTTCACATAAATTCCTGAGAACTGATTGCTTTCTGTTGGTCACAAAGCAAAACAGAGACATAAATTTATGTAATACAATACAGAACTCGTTATCAATTATATCAAAAGACACTTTTTTCAGCTGCTTGACATTGTTAACAATTTATGAAGAATTCTGGCGGGAGTTATACAGACCCAACGTTTGTTTTGTTTTTCTCCGACACCAAATGCATACTGTCTGTTTCCTTATGGAGCATCTCTTCTTTCCAAAATACTATTTCAAAGTTTAAATGCTATGCATGAATGACACTTTGGTTTAACTTTCCAGCATCAAAGGGAATGGCTTTCAAATTAATTAGGGCAAGACAAATCATAACGAGGCTGGAAAGGGTAAGGGCCCTGCAAAGTCTTTTCTTTATATTTCCTTTCAATTATGATGGTCAGCTACAGTCTTGATAAAACAATACTGTGCCTAGGAATAGTTTACTAGATGAAGCAATATAATTGCTTATAAAATAAATACTATATTTCATGCCTACCTAATATTGGCATGACAAAGTTCAAAATTGTGTACAATCTCTGCAGGATATAATCACATCTGTTTAATCTCTCACAAATCAAATGCAAAGCACCAAGTTGCTTTACTATTTTCATGTAAATCCTGATTTTTCAATTTATTTTGAAAATAATTATTTTCTTATCTGGCTGGTAGGATTGAGCAGTGGTAGTTTGTGGCTGTTTGGCCGTTGCTGTTGCCTTCGAGGCGGATAGAAGTCTTGTTGATCCTTGGGATACCTACCCTTCCCGTGATACCACGCAGCATCATGCAGGGGCTCCACCGTGTTTGAACGAGGACCCGACGGTTCTCCAAGAAGTGAAACAATGTGACTGTTTGGTCCTTGGATGTTACTGTCGTACGCGGATGGAATGTCGCGTCTGTGACTGGTGCTGGACATTTCACTGGCCGAATTCTTAGGTCCCACTCTGGTCCATGTAGAGCTACTAACAGACGAGTAAGAGCGTCCATTCACTTGTCTTTGATTGCTCTTCTCTCTGCTGCCATTGTTGCTACCTGTTTCATCACCCATCTCACTGCTCCCAAGGACAGTGTGGCCCTCTTGAAAGGACACACCATCATCTCTGGTATCAGGGTGGCCACTGTACAGGTACTTGGCTTTCAAGGTAGGTTCCTTGTTGGAAGAGGAGGATGACGATGAAGATGAACTCGACGGTCTGTAGTCTGTCTGATGAGTTCCAGATGCAGCCGAATGAGCTTTCCTGTTTGTTGAGGATCTAGTTTGAGGTGAACCTGTACGAGAGCTTCCATTGTATTTCAGATGTTGACAGCTCTGAGCTCTATCTCTCCGGATACCTCGTCCATCTCCTCTCCCTCCCTTGTTTTCCGTGTTGTACTGCACACTCCCATGCCTGACGCTTCCCCCGTATCTACTACCTGGCCGTGGGGATGGACTCCTGTCGATGCTTCTTGGGCTGTTGCGCCCGCTGAAGCTGGAACCCCTGCGGCTTGGTGAACCGCTCCTCCCTCCGGCACTTAACAGATCTTGCTCCCTCCAGCTGAGGTTGCTCCTGGGATTATCCCTTGTTCTCTTATCCGGAGGCTTGACTGGAGCGCGGTCATAGTCTCCTCTATCCAGCTCCTTCCGCAGACCCTTGACAGTGTTGCGAATGGCATGGGTGAGCTTGTGGTGAGCTCCAAACTTGGTGGTGCGGATATCAAGTGCTCTGCTCATCAGCTCCATGGCTTCCTTCTTGCTCTGGAAGCTCCCATCATTCCTGAGTAGTCTCCCTGCAAATGAAGAAAGGAATTCCAATGATCAATATCAGCCTCTTTAGCTTATAACAGATTTTTCAAATCAACGATGTTCAATCTGAGATGCATGGCCCTATAGCTACGTGTTATCAGTTTCTGTGATATGGTGTAATATTAATGCTCTAAAAAAAGTTAGCCTCAAAATTAACATGAAGTGCCTCAAAAAAGTAAAAGTCTTTGTGTGACCAGTGTTACTATACTCATTTTCCCAATAAACTGTAGTGTTATAAAAACCGTTAAGAAAAGGTTTTTGGAAATTCTGATTTCCAATCATAAATATCTTGATAATCAGACAGGCGATCGGCTTGTAAAATTCATGGGGTTCCTAACTGGCCTAAAGGTTTATAATTATCATTGCAGCATAAGCTATATCCAGGATTTTGTTTTAGAATCTTAGACAATGTTACCCAAACCCTTTAAAACAAATTTTTCAAGTCAAGATACCCCTCTAAATTTTTTTTCCTACCATTAAATAATAATTTTAAAAAGCAAGACAATTCATAAGTCTTTATCACATAACCAAATGATCTCAGAATCTGAATAGACCTGTTCTTCTTACCTAAATGAAAGAGAGTGGTTGCTACAAGAAGATGATCCTTCCCCAGGGACTCTTGACGAATCTTCAGAGCTCTCCTGTAATATGCTTCTGCCTTCGTTCTGTCATAGCTGTATAAATAAATAAATATTCATAATAAATCAGTTATGATATAACTGAAAGAAAAGAATTCTGATTGGGAAGTAGGACTATTAGACTGATAAATGCTCTGCATATACAGTGCTTTGCTGTTCCGAGTGCAATACACTCATTGATACAGTCAATGACGCAGTCATAATGAAGATGAAATTGGCTTGGTGACCACCTCTCATTAAAGGACAGCTTATTTTCTTTGAGCAATTTTCAGTCTAATCTCTAATGAAAATTATCTCATTTGGTGTATGAATAGCATTGTTCACAATGCACATTGTAGAATGTTTCAGAAACTCTGTTGGTTATACATACTGCATTTTATGTTCGTTTTCTACAGCAACATATGTCTATGAGGTAATTTTAACATCTCGTGTGGGAATGGGCCTTTAGGAACAACTTGTATACAAAGACCTCCTAACCTAAGAGACCAAGGGAGTGTTTCACAAAGACTAAGATTAACTTTAAGTTGATCTTTAGATAATATTTTTTCCTTTAATAATGAGCTATCAAAAAATGTAAATTCTGTAGATATGTGACCATGATTTGTACGTCCATTGAGACACCAATGCCAGTAAATGGTGAGAGCAAACAGTGGCATGAATGGCCTGCCATAGTTAAGTCCAACTTAAAGTTGATCTTAGTCTTTGTGAAATACTCCCCAGGGAAGAGTGTTCTTTTCAGAAGCATTGACTTTACATACACCCAACAAGCCTTCCTTCTTCCATTCTTCATATTGACATTGAGCATCTACTCCACTTACCAGATCTCATTATCGTACTTGCATAGTAGTCCAGCTAACTCGTTGAGTACTTCAGCTACCAGTGGGTGCGCTGAGCCATACCATCTCTCTCTGGTCTGCAGAGCCTCCAGAAGGCATGCCTCGGCAGACTGATAGTCATCCACTTTTATCCTAAGATATGAAGAGAGATACGTTGTGTGTCGTAAACCATCTTGTTTTCAAGTCAGGGGAGGGTTTGGTGGTTGCAAGCAACTTGCAATACCCTATGGAAACATGTGTATATCAATATGTTGCAGAAGGATATCCATCTGTTGGGCCAAACCCAAAGTTACGCACAATACTTTTTGCTTATACAATGATGATTGCTATTTCTCTTCTCACCTGAGTGGAAAACTGAAAAAAAATTAAAATACATATATTCTGAGAATTTAATAAATTTGTTTTGATTCATTTAAACCATGCTCTAACCAAATTAAAATTGGTTTCAACATAATATCAAGAGACTTTGTTTCCCTGCATCTAGTCATAGAATGAAGCATCATAAGTCATCATTTTCTCACCAAAATAGATGAAAATTATTTAGACAGAAACTCCATATACAGTCAAACCTGCTTTAGTGACCACCTGTCTACAAATTAAGACCACACTTTTGGTTTCCCTTGAAAATGGTTTCTCATTGAAACATGTACTAAAAGACCACCTGCCTATAAAGACCATTTTTCTAGTCTCCCATGGGTGGTCTTTATAGACAGGTTTAACTGAATATTATATACATGAAAGGAATAGCAGGACATACTTGAGGAATCCAAGGTTTAACTGTGCTGTTGCGATGCCTGCCACACTGTTTGCTTGTCTCATGCATTGACTGGCCTCCATCAAGATCTCTTCCGCTTCCTCTATCCGCCTATCATGGACAGCCATACTGCCGATCCTGTTCAACAGCCGTCCTGTCATCAACAAGTCAAAATAATTCAGTTCAGTTCAGTTCAGTTTATTAAAAAAACACCAGACATAGCAATCATGACGAACAAACATAATCCAAATTGAGACCCCAAAAAGCTATGCTTGTGAGTGGGGGCCCTGGGAAGGATGGACCTCTCAATCTCAGCAGATTGGCAAAGAGACCAACGTTTTTTTGGGGAACTGTGCAATTCAAAACATGAAAGATAGTAGGATACGATCATGGATACAGTACAAGAATAATCAGAGTATAGTCATCTCTGAAGGCTTCCATGGTGAGGATAGATTTGAGCGTGGTTTGTGTTACACCACATATTCTTTCGACGGGGTTGGTTGGTCCTGAAAAAAATCCACTCAGGCTCCAGCTATCTCTGGTACCCGTGCTCTAACCGGAGATAGACCATGAGTGGGCCCTTTTCAACGCCAACCCACCCCGTCAAAAGATTAAGTGATGTAATCACAAACCTTGCTCGTAAAAAAAAAAGTATAGTAGTTTATATGGGGCGATCCATATTAAGAGTTTTCACAAAAGCAGTCTTTCTTGTCACCCTGCATTTAGTTAATTTGCCATATAGGAGAGAGAACTGCATATGGATAGGCATTATGCTGTTTTCTTTGTTACTAAAATTAATGTGATGAGGTTTGGCGATTATTCTACGAGACTAATATTTTGTAAAATTTGTATTAGTCCTGGGGGGTGTTTCACAAAGATCCTAAGTTGAACTTATCTCTAAGTTGGACTTAGCCATTAGCATCTTTTAAAATATTTGTTTAAAGTTATTTTGAAAGGCATAAAATGTTGATTCAAATCATTCATATTTTCTATTATCATGGGAGATATCATGTTCTTGATGTGGAATTTATAAAAAGTCTAAAATACTTGAATTTCTGCTTTTGAATATATTTCATTTTAAGGCTACAAATGCCTCTCCATAATTTTTAAGTCCAACTTAGTTTTAAGTTCTACTTAGGATCTTTGTGAAACACCCCCCAGCTGGTTAGTACCTAAGTCTTAACACTACAATCCTGTAGCAAACGATTAATATGGAACCTGATAACCCAGGGAATAGCCCATGCAAGTGAATTTGTCACTGCCCTGCGTGAGTACCCGTAATAATCACACTAAGTTTATCCTTAAATGCTATTACATAAGCTAGGTTTGACTGAAATATAAGCACAATTCACACAGTAACAAAGAGGTTCTCAGATAACAGATAAACAGACTGACAAACCCCCAAAAATATAGCACCAAACACAATATGCAGTCCCTGGTGTAAGAAAATGCATTCATCAAACTCTAATAATTTGAAACTTCACTGACAACATTTTCCAACTGAAGAAGCTCTTAAGGTGAATGAATTCTAGATGTTTCTACCTTTCGTTTCCAGGAGTGGCTTGATGTTGTCATAAGTCTCTTCTTCTATGATATGCTCCAGCGTGTTAAGAGCCTTGCCAAAGAAGCGCTGTGCTTCGTCCTTACGCAACTGGAAGAGGTGTCTTTCTCCTATGCTCTCCTGTACCTCAACAAACAGCAGCTGTTCTTTGTACGTCAGTGGGAACATCTAGAAAGAGACAGGAAAGTGGAGCAACAAGATATTTACATGTATCCATATCAGCCAGCCTAGAAATTCAACCGACAAGACAAATTGTTCTGGGATGTAATAAGACAAGAGAAGAAATTATATTGAAACCCTCAAGTTGTAGTTGTTTTTCAATGCTGCTTCAACAAAAATGCATGAGGTAACATATTTAACAAGCATTATAATATATCAAGGTTCATATTTTTCTTACCTAAAAACAAAAGGAAAATACAAAGCATATTCTGCTGCACTTGAGTTTTAAGTACAAGAAAGCCGCTTCAAACAAAAAAAATTGAATTATGTGTGTTATATAGTGGTCATATAAGCCTAACAGTGAACTATCAAAAAAACCTGGTACCTCAGTGATAAGTCAAAAGAAAAGAAATTATAGATCTGGGCCCGTTTCACAAAACTTGTCAAGTCAAGAGTGGACTTGCATTTAACTTACATCTATAATCCTGTCATAAGCCAGCATCAACATCTCTTCAGATTGATCAAACGCAGATTTCTCAGCTAGAAACTTTCCGACATGCATCGCAAGAAGTGCACTCTTACACCGTATCCTGTTTTCATCAAGCACTTCTCCCTCCATCTCGCTCTCCTCATCTACTTCTTTGTCAAAATCAATCATTTCCTCAACTTGACTCTCCTCTTTGTCGCTTGATATTTCAAAAGCATCTCCGAGAGAGTTGACCAAGTCGTCAAGCATGTCTTGTTCTCCAGGAGCAAAGCTAGCTAGGCTCCTTGACAGCTCAGAAGCATCAGGGATGCTGCTTCCCACTCGGCTCTCTCCTCTTCCATCACTCATTGCCTTCTCCGATTCGTCCAATATGCTTCCTCCCCGACTCCTCTGATCACTGAAGTTGCTTCCACGAGATGACACATCTCCAGGGCAAGCTGATGATAATGCTGTGAATTCTTCTTTGACAATCACTTCCTCGACCGGATGGTCCGGACGAGACTGTCCACCCACGCTCATCTCGCTTCTCCCGCTCTCCAACCCACTCCTACTGCTTTCAAAGTCACTTATCCTGCTGTCGATCCCACCTCTGCCATCACCTAAGCCACTGAGTGCACCTAGTGAAAGAGGAGGAAGGGGTGGTGGTGGTGGTGGTCCAGCCTCGTCCCCACCAGTGATGCTATCAAGGTCAGTCCTAGTGGCTCGACTCATGGTCAGATCCGCCCCTGGGATATACCCCTCCTCACCCCCACCATCAAGCGTAGATTTCTCTACAGTGTTCCTGCTTCCTATGCTTTCAAAGTCACTGAAGGTACTAGGATGGTCTCTGGACCCAAAGGAGACGCTAGAAGGACCGGCTCTCTTCCCTCCTCCTCCTGTCAGATCTATAGCATGATTGGAGAGCTGGCTGCTAAAATTGACTGAACAAAGGAATCAGATAGAAAGAAATATGTGACAGTCAAAATAAACATCAAACTTCAGTGTCATGATCACATAGCTGATGAACAATTCTTGAAGAAAAGGTCACATTTTATGAAGAATTACAACATAAGACTTTAACATGTCATCCTGCAAAAAACACCAACCTGACATATTACCACAACGTTGCTTTACAGTAAAGATATCTTTATGTTTTTCTTTGTTCATCTACCAATACTTTCTTGCTACTTATATGATAAGAAGAAACAATATGCCATAGAGAAAGAATTTTTTTTTGAACTATAACAATATTTATAAAGCGCAACATATCCATCTCTAGAGATGCTCAAGGCGCATACAAATAATTTAAATTAATATTCAACATACTTAAGATTAAAGAAATATTAAATGTTAACTTGCATTAGATCATACAACTTCATGGTGCCAAGGTACATACAATGTGGCACAGTGCGATTGTTTGTTTTGCATGCATTGTATAAAAAGAACATTGAAATTTAACAATATGCATTGAGCATCAGGTGAGAGTCAAAATAAACATCATAACTTCATAATATGATCATCATACCAAACTGTAATGCAATTGAATACAGAAAAGTGCCTTTCATCTCATATGGTCCAAGCACAGTTCGAGGGTTCAGTGACACAAAGACGTAACTCCATATTTTGCCAAAATGAGTATTTGATATCAAAATGTTCAGAAAATTGTGGGCTTTCCAGGAAACACAAAGACTGAACTCCACCCAACACCCCATTGAAGTCAATGGCCAGTGAAACATAGACTTACCTCCTTAAGGCCCAAGTGCTCAGTGACACATAAACCACTTTTCTCAAAATGGCCAAAATGGAGTTACGTCTTTATGGGAACAATGGGAACTTACCACTCTCCACACCGATGCTGTCGTTCTTTTTCACCAGCTTCTTCTTGAAACCGGGCAGCCCCCAGTCCATCCTGGTAGCCGATCTCATCACCATCTCACCCACGTCATCGGCAAAGGATACCTTAGAGGCACTCTTCACCTGGTTAGGGTTGTCCTCCTTGCCGATGGCTTGGGACACCATCTTCGTGAGGGAGGTGGTGATGCTGAAGTTCTCCTTGGAGAGGCGGTTGCAGTAGCGGAGGAGATCGAGCTTCAGGGCAATATTCTGCGAGGTGCCAGCCTGCATGGCCAGGAATGTACTGCAGGATAATAATAATAATAATGATTCTGATTTATATAGCGCATTATAATCATCGATGACAATAATCTATGCGCTCTCCGGGCGAAAAGAGACAATGTAGATTACATACCGTATTTGCCGACGATAAGGCCGCAGCGCCGTATAGGCCGCACCCCCGATTTTGACATTTAAAAAAAAAAAAAAAAAAAAAAAAAAAAAAAAAAAATTGCCAAAGTCGAGATTCGATCTCTTGCGTACAAATGTTGATGTGACTAAAATCACCGTCTTTAACTGCGCGGCCATCCCGCGCTGATACCATACACTGCTGTTTTATGTGATGTAGTCATTAGAATGGATTGAAAATGGCGACTTCGCATGCTGGATGCTTCGCGGCGGCTCCGTTAAACGGGCCCTTCTTTTACTTTTGCAATGCATTGGCACGAACTTGGATCAAAATCTATCGGCAGATGTTGTTTTTGGAAGTTTATTTTCGTCTTCATGTCAACAATGCAAGATAAAATTGTTGGTAAGATGTGTGGAAATGTATAGTTATTGTACCGTTCGTAGATCAAGTCCCATATGTACAAATTCGTGCTGGTTTTGACTTCTTTTTTTTTTTTTTTTCTGTTTCGTCGTAAAGGCCGCACCCCGACTTTTTGATATTTTCTCTTCCAAAAATACTGTGGCCTTTACGCCGGCAAATGCGGTAGATAATGACAAAAATGGTAATCATCGTTGGATTTATCCACTATCAGGGAAGAAAGAGTGCTGAGTATTTACTAGCCAAAGTTCATCAGGCACTCAAGGTGATTCTTACTATTGAACATGAACTCATCTATCCGGGTGAAGACAGACAATGTAGATCGCATAGATAATGTCATATCTGATGTATAGATTCAAATGTATGATAATCAGATTTTGACATAGGAGTACATAAGACATTCATGTTTCTATGTCATTTGGGAGGAAATCATTCATCTGGCCTGAGCTTCACCACTAATACAAAATATTCAAAGCTATCAAAACAAATAGGAAAATCCTAAAAATTAAGTTTATCTATATGAACATATGGGTTGTTAGATGCAAATGGAGAAAATTTGTTGCTGTGCCAGAGGCTATAACAGAGCTGCCAACCTTGTGCGACCAAAAAAAGGAATCATGATGGCAAAAAAAAGGAATTCATAAAAACGAAACTTACAACCACGTGCGACCTATGCACTAATGTTCATTCCTTATGCTGTTTTTGCAGGTTTTTTGTTTTGGTTATTTTTATATTATCAGCATTTCATTCTTTTTTTGAGAATATTTCTCTCTTCAAGATTAGCCGGCGTATAGGCCGCAGTATTTTTGGAAGAGAAAATATAAAAAAGTCGGGGTGCGGCGAAAGAGTAAAAAAAGATTTTTTTAAAAATTTTTTTTTTTTTTTTTTATTTATTATTTTTTTTTTTTAGTTTTAATTTATGGCGCTATGCCTGGCAATGTCTCCCAGCTCAGTAATCAGTGTGTTGACTCACCACTCGGAAACTACAACAACACTAAAATTTGTCTGTCATCTTGGTTTGAAAGTAATCTTTCTAATAGATCTCAATATGTAGTTTATAATAATAATTCCTCAATTTTTTTTATATAACAAATGGTGTACCACAAGGTACTATCCTAGGACCTAGTACTCTTTTGTTTTTAATTCACATTAATGATCTTACACATTCTTCTAAAAACGACATTGTTACTATTATTTGTGACAAGTTTACAAGCACAAATCAGCGCCTTTAACTGCACCTCGATGTTAAATGAAGGTCCTTCCCCGCGTGGGTTTTCGGCAACAAAACAACAACAACAACCAACACAAAAAACAAAACAAAAAAACGATTTTTTTTTTTTTTTTTTTTTTTTTTTTTTTTTTTTTTTTTTTTAATGTCAAAATCGGGGGTGCGGCCTATACGGAGCTGCGGCCTTAACGCCGGCAAATACGGTATGTTTTAAGATTAGTTATCTATTGAATTTGTGATCAAATCACCATTTTAGGGCATTTTTTTGACGTGTGGTGTGTAAAAAAATTAATTAAAAAAAAAAAAAAAAAAAGTATTTTATGAAGAAACTAGATGGAACTTCGACTGCGCGCAGTCGAAATGATGCCTCCGTCATAGAGCAATTTTACAAACCAAAACAGAAGAAATTGTTCAAATTCAAGTTCAATTGTAATCCATTAACAGGTTCTCAGAATATCGTGATTACAAGCAATTTCTCATATACATATATGACCCTTTGATCTTTGACCACATGACCCTAACATCTACTCAGTTCATTGGCTCTGCAAGATGTCCCGAGTTAAATAGTAATCCATCTGTCAGTTCTAATGAGAATGCGTTCACAAGCTATTTTTGCATACATAATGAGCCGCATGACCTTTGACCTTTGACCTCATGACCCAAGAATCTACTCAGTTCATTGGCTCTGCAAGATACATACATGATCTAAGTTTGGGAGGAATCCATCAATCCGTTCTAATGATAATGCGATCACAAGCTATTTTTGCATGCATAATGAGCCGCATGACCTTTGACCTTGACCTCATGACCCCAAAATTTAATCAGTTCATCGGCTCTGCAAGAAACATACATGACCTAAGTTTGGCAGGAATCCATCAATCGGTTCTTGAGATAACGCGATCACGAGCTGTCTCAGCATACATAATGAGCCCTGTGACCTTTGACCTTTGACGTCGTGACCCCAAAATCTAATCAGTTCATCGTCTCTGCAAGATACACACATGACCTAAGTTTGGCAGGAATCCATCAATCGGTTCTTCAGATAACGCGATCACGAGCTGTTTTTGCATACATAATGAGCCCTGTGACCTTTGACCTTTGACCTCGTGACCCCAAAATCTACTCAGTTCATCGGCTCTGCAAGATACATACATGACCAAAGTTTGGCAGGAATCCATCAATCGGTTCTTCAGATAACGCGATCACGAGAACGGGACGTACAGACGGACGGACGTACGTACGTACGGACGTACGTACGGACGGACGGACAACCCAAAAACATAATGCCTCCGGCTACTTCGTAACGGAGGCATAAAAACGTTATACCATAATTTGGAGGAAAAAACAGAGTAATTCCTGCAAAAACGGAATGGTTGGCAGCTCTGCTATAACCATCTAGCTAGAACAAATTGATTACTCTACTAATGTGTTAACATGCATGTAGAAAGCAACCATGAGACCAACATCTGTCAGTCATGCAGGACCACTGTCTTTCACAAAGATCTAATCTGATATTGTTAAACTCTAGACAGCCTGGTTCCAGGATCTAAAAGCTACCAGACTAGACTCTAAAAACCACTAGACTAGCTGGCCTACACCACCCTACTCCCTCCCTCTAGACTTTGACTATCATTGCCCATGAAGAAGATACTCTGTGCGACTGCGGAGAGACTCAGACGATGGACCACATCTTGCAGTGCGGAAGAACAGTTTGCACAGATAAAGACCTGGCCCTTGTTAATGAAACGGCCATCGCAGCAATTGGGTGATGGAAGAACTTAATTTAATTTAATTAAGGAACTTTACATAACAGGGCTCTCACTTAACTTTTTTTCTTGGTTGCCAGCCGGGCATCCTATACAGTTTTTTAGGTTGCCAAATGGCAGTTTAGGTGGTCACAGTGAATATGTTTAAAGGGGTTTGTGTAATGCATAAATCTGCCATCGGGTCTGTCGCAATTGTCGCGCCATCGAAATTACCATCCTCCATGGTAACCATGGTAATCATGGTACCAAACAATAAAATACATTGTTTGATGACCCTATATTTATTGTTTGATACTATGGTAACCATGGTGGATGGTAATTTGGACAACAAAATCATGGTTACCATGGCACTTTTTTTTGTTATAAGGGGCGCTACTTGAAATCTTGAATTAAAATATTAAAACTAGAGGGTCTATAAAAAAATCATAATTAACTCAGTGCCCGGTACAACAGTCAGGGAAAAAATTAAGTTTTTCATTTCAGGGGCTCCATTTCAGGTTTTGGGGACATTTTTGGGGGGCTACTTTTTCAACTTTCGAGAGCTTTTTTTTCATTTCGAGGGCTCTTTTTTCTGGGGCTACTTTTTCATTAATTCATAAAAGGATAGTTTGTTGAGATTTTTTTTTGTATGCTAAGGTTTAATTCGGGCTTCCTGCGTCATAATTACCCATTCAAAAAGAAAGCATTTATCTAGTTAAAAACCTAAGTTTTAATGCATTTGACTGTAACATAATAGATTGTGATTATTCTGGCCATGACCATGTTCAGATCTTCTACTGAATTTCGATAATCATTTTTTTCAAAGTAAAATTTTCACAAGAACATCAGACAGTCGTTTAAAAACTAAGACATAAGTAACACTTTTACTAGTTCTAAGCTCAGGTTTCATACCTCGATTCACGAACCTACTTTGAAATCACGGCAATAATGATGCAAACAGATAGCAATTTCAAAGTGTTGTCAAGTCTCTTCGACTCTAGCTCAGCTCAGCTCAGCTCACACAGCAGCTGCAGTGACACTGCACTGTGCAACTGAACTGTCAGTCACGATCATTTTCTCCGATTTTCTTGTGAAAACTTATTTGAAAAATGAATATCATGGCGAGAATAATCACAAAATAAGCTTTGATTTCATACCTCTATTCACGAAAACTATATACAATAGCGGCAATCATGATGGAAATTGATTGCAGTTTGGCGATCTTTTTTAGCAAATGGTCTAGGTTCAGCTAATATGATCTATCGAAACAAAATCGACCGCAAAAAACTCGATCCCTGCGCTCCGTCTCGCAACCGCGAAAATGTACGTGTTTTCGCGTACACGTGCGTGCGACATGGTAAGCCAGGTGAATCAAGTTTTTTATGACCGAATTTGTGTATACAATTTTAGACGGAGATTCAGCGCGCGTGTGCATGCCGACCAAGAAATGCACACAATGAATACAAAGCTAGTAGAGAGCGGCCGCTCGTAATCGTTACGGGGGCCGGGGCTATTTGAGATCATTTCCTTTTTTTGACATTTATTTTGTTGGTTGCCAGCCGGGCAGCCAAGACGGGACTTTTAGGTTGCCCGGTGGCGTTTTAGGTGGTCAATGGCACCCGGGCAACCGCTAATTTCGAGCCCTGCATAACTATCTTGATCTAAGGAGACACGAACGAACGAATGATTACTTACTCAGGATTGGTGACGACTTTGTTGAGCCCACTGACATCTCCGCATCGGTCTAGATGATAGGGGAGTTCCTCCACTCTTCTCCTGGAGGAGGGTTGGTGAAGGAAGTAGTCTGCTAGGTGCTCATGGCACTGCTGCATCTGACCATTCAACATCTGAGGCAGGAAACCGACCCCTGATGACGAGGTCTGGTCATTGGTCAGTCCTGGGATAACACCTGGTTTGAAAGAATGTTAATTGTTTATTTAAATTAATTTTAGATGACAAGTTCATTAACAATACGAATCGAACACTTACTTCACCTGCACACACCCACTTGCACACACTTGCACATTTTTCTTCTTTTTTTCTTTTATTAATTTCTTTCCACTTTTTATTCAGATACTCTCTGAACAAAATCTTTATATGTGACCCTCTATTCCCCTACATTCTCCTAAAACAGCGCCATGTACCCCCCCCCCCCCCCCCCGGCTGCTATCGACTCAAGCTTCCTTGCTTATGATAGTTGGCCTCTGCATTTATCTTGATTATTTTTACTTACCTCCATACTTTCAAGCTTTCAATTATGTATTTTTTTCTTTAATATTTTATTTTGTGTGTATTAAGTTGTCACTTTTTATGTAAATCAATTATATTATATACTATTATTGTTATTTGAATGTTTTATATTTGATTTATCAATAAATGCAGAAACATCTGCTACAAAAAAACCAAAAAAAATGTTAATCAAGACAAATATTTAACACAGGGAGTGTCTTTAAAGGTAAAGACCAGTTTTGGAAACGCCCCCCTCTCAAGAAATGAAATGGAAGCTCTTATTGCCAATCATGTGAAAGAATATGTTTTGATTAGTACATGATGATAAAAATTTTGCCGGGAAACTGCCTACTAATTGATATATTTGGTAAATTAGTTTATCTATTTGGACGTGATAGATATAACGCACGTGTCGCACATGTGTGCATAGTCCCATATACATCTTTCTGTGTACCATGCTTGTAACTTTACGAAGACTGGGCCAAATTTCTTATCATTTTGATGATTCCAGAACCTTGCAGTACACACCAATACTTATATGCTAGATTTCCCAATGCAATCGCATGACCATAACTGGTCTTTATCTTTAAAAAACAAAGTTTTTCAGGAGGATGTATACCAATGTCATTGAATGTAGACAAAAGGGGGGGGGCTTACAAGGCTTACAGGTATGCATTTTGCAGGCCTAGGATCTAAAGTCATATTAAAGACACTGATATACAGAGGAAAAGACAACATACGGATTCATCCTAGAGTATAAGCAATGGACTCAATTTTTCGTGCAATGAAAGTAGCCATTACATTTCAAATTGTATTCAATACACATCATCTGTAATGGAAGTTGTTCAATTTCATGACAAAGATATGGAACCTATGACTTCTATTAAAGATTTCATACATGATTTCATACACGTTATCTTAAGTGCATTGCAAACAGAGGCAAAATTGAATGTTTGCAAGAGGCTGTACTCATACATCGCCATACAACAAGGACAAGAGAACCCAACTTAATTGAAGGAGGCGCAATAGGTCAGTTGGTAGAGCAGTGGTCTTATATTCCGGGGACCCGGGTTTGAAACCAAGTCGATGCGCTAGTGCCCTTTGGTAAGGCATTAATCCTCATCACCAGGTCCCTCGGAGAGGACCTAAAGCAGTCGGTCCTCTGGTTGCTTACTAACAAGCATTTATGCTTTCTTAGCAGTCAGGTAAAAAACAACCACACTCTAACTCTTTAACCACTTACCGAGCAGAGAATTGAGGACCGCATCCCTCAGGTCTTGGTGGAAGAACCCAAAGAGTCCTCCAGGCCGCTCTACCAGAGCATCAAAGGCGGCTGACCTGAAGAGGGCAAAGTCAAAGCTGGTGACCCCTGATTGACCTTTGTATCCCATGTGCTTCAGGAGGGAGAGGATGTCGGTCTCACTGAGTCCGTGACGAGAGCAGGCCAGGAGGCGAAGGGTCTCTGCTACCCATCCAGTGAAAGCTGTATACGTGATGGATGCGATTGAGTCATTTAGTGGCCAATTTCAAATCTTACATTCTCAAAAAGTAAAATGATTCTTTCCCTTATGAAACTCTTTTAAGACTCTCTCTTCATTCTCTTTCTCCTGAAAATTCATCACTAGTAATGCTAATCAGTCTACTAATTTCATTGTATATAGCAAGAATTACATAATGCAAAAGAAATAATTATCTTTTGTGTAATCAAAGAGTAAAACATTATATCAAATAATTATATTTTTTCTTTCTACTTTACAAATGTTAACAAAATATATTGTACCACTAGCAATAATATGGTATGTATTGACAATATGTACAACACCGATACAGACTTTCTACTGCTGTTTAAGAGCATAGGCAACAGCTTGTTGGATGAGGAATAAATTCTACTTGGAAAATTCCACAAATATCGCAGGACAGTGATTCTAAAACTTTCCCTCACTATTTTAATTCCAAAAAATTTGTACTTATCACAACAACAAAAAAACACAAAAAAAAAAATTGCTTCTAACAAAATTCCCCCCTTTTGAGTCAGAAAATTGGGAAAAAATTGGGGAAATCAGGAAAAAATCAGGAAAAATTAATAAATCAGGAAACCGATTTAAAACAGGCAATTATCAGGCCTGTAAAAGAGAAAAGAGCCTAGATTTAAAGAGAAGAAGATGTTGTTCTTACGATCGATCTGTCCAAAACTAGACATGGAAGCAGAGAGCCTTCCCTCTGTACTCCACCCGTATTCCTTGGTCCATCGAGATATAATGGACTTCCACAGGTCCCTGAACGAGGGAGCCTTGACATATCGCTTCAGTAGATCTGGAAGGTTTTCAAACGTCCCACATACCCGCAGCTCGTTGGCCAGCACCGTGAGAAAGAGAGGTCGCGAGCTGAGCTTGCAGTTGACGATCGTACGGCGGTGGCTAGCATCCAGGCACTTGCAATGCATGGCAAGATGGCGCTCGATGACTGCACCCTTGTCGGCGGTGCTCTCGAAGAGAGGGACGGAGAGAGTCTCACAGTCACGTCTGTTCATCAGGGACTTGTAAGTAAGATCGGAGCGGACACTGCTAATGATGATCTTGCAATGGGGTGGGAGGACAGCAGGCAGCCATTTCATTTCTTTGACCTGGAAGTAAAACATCAACATCAAAAGGTCATAGTTTTCATGTAATCAGATAAGCAACCTTTGGGTTGCCCACAGACAAGATTTAATAGGTCTCAATATCCAATTTATTTCAAAAAATGCTTTTGTGCTTACAGGAGCTCTTTATAGATATTCCACAGGAAAAGAAGAATGCCCAAACAGTAGTTCCTATGTTTATTCTCTATATTTTTTCAGAACTCTTTTGGAGCTTCCCACAGCGTAATCACTCCCTCCTCCTACAATTTTTGTCATTGTAACTCATCTTGCAATCAACTAAGTACAATGAATTTCATGATATAAGAATGGATTTCACAATTGCAATTGATGAAGGTCACATTAGGTCGTAGCCATAGTTACCTGATGGATTCCCATTCCCATCGTGCTGCCAAGCTCATCCACAGCATCAAGGACCAAAACACAAGGACCCATAGCAATGGCTGCTACAAAGGCCTCACAGATGCGATGAAAGTTAGACAGCTCCTCAGAATCACCATTACTCTCGGCCGGACTGTCACCTGAATCAATCAGCAAGGGAAATATTTGAATTGAATGTGGACTTTACTTTAAAACTTCTGATCAACATGTTTTAAATAAATAGATTTAGCAAATATCTAATTAAAATTGTCTTAACAGACATATTAGATAGTTTAATGCAAAACAATCACCTTCTAGTGTATTAGAGATGAACAATTATTAAGGCTCCTTTATTTCACTTTGTTTACAAACACAGCCAGAAAGGGCCACATGACCCCGGTAATAGTGTTTTCAGAAATATTTGATTTATTTTTCTTTGTGTAAGTTGTCTTCTGATTTGGCACTAATTCAAAGAGAAATCACCACATTTTTGTAAAAGACACTTCTTGATTCAATTTGTCACAGTAGGCATTCTCTGCCATTAGCCTGATATTTCCAGTCAAAATACATTATTAGCATCGGAAACCTATTATCCTTGCCAAGCAGCCATGATTGCTTCCAGAGTGAAAGCCTGCTTCCTGTAAACAGCAATGCTATAAATATACTGGGCAAACGTGTTAAAAATAGAACTGAGAGCTCCATTTCCTGATGCATTTGCTACGATTGCGAGAGCTTCATGCAATTTTTCATCATGCTTTTTTTTTAGTGAATAAATTCTGGTATTAAAAAATGTGCACTATAAGCCGGCATTTTACTGCTAGTGGCAGAACACTGTTTTTAACAGATGTAAAGTTTTGTGCACTCTACAATGCAAACTTATATTCTGTTTAAATGCAAGAAATATATTCCCCGTCAAGTGCACCTTTTGTTTAAGAAATGTAATGTTTGTGTACTTATTGAGGTCACTACCAAAATTAAGGTAAATCAATTCATCTCTCTCAAGATTTTTATTGTTTATGTTGCTATATGTCTCCATATACTTTGAAACATTGATGAGATCTCAGCAAGTCACCAAATGACAAGAGGTCAAGGGTCACAACCACATGTCTAAGAACGACTCCATCTACTAGGCAGGACACCCTACAAACATACCTCCAAACTCTCCTCTGAGTTCAAAGGTCACTCTCCGGAGGAAGCTACAGATGTCGGTACTCAGGGCGCTGGAGCCAACGTAGTGGGCCAGGACCTTGACGTCTGGATGCGATGCTTGGAACTGCTTGACCCAATTGGCAACCAAGGATGTCTTCCCGCATCCTCTCTCCCCTATCAGGGTCACAATGGACTTGGATGCTGGCAGATTTTCCCTGCGTATCATTGAAAAATGGATCACAAAATGACAACAAAATGCCAATCTTAATGACAATAATGATCATATACATGTAGATGCTGCTTGTAAGTGTCGGCTTGCATGGTGATGTACATGTAGATATACAGTAGCCACTCATCCTCTCCAAGCGCTATACCAGGTAGTTCTCCTCAGAACTATATGCTAAGAAAGATAACCAACAGTCCTTTTCAGGACTACACACCCCCAAGAAAGATTACCGAGTCAGAGTTCTCTCTCTCTCTCACATGGTGCACCCGCAAGCCTACTGTATAATAATGATCATAACAGGTAATATCTATGATTTGAATGTCTCCTTTGGGGTTGAAAGCTTCGAGTCAGGCCTCAAAGCCCATCTTTTCAAGCAAATGTGTAGTCCATGACTATTGGAGGAGCGGGCACCTTTTGAATGTTTGAAGCAGATAACTAGGGACTGGGGACATACAAGTGCTGTGGATCATCATCATCATAAATCTTAGTCTTTTACAGTCTAAACAGTCTTTTTCAAGACTATACCAACAGTCCTTTTCAGGACTAGAAACCCTCAAGAAAGATAACCGAGAATTCTTTTCAGGACTCCTCAATCCTCCCTCTCTCTCACATGGTGCACCTGCAAGCCTACTGTATATCATTAATCTTGTTTTTTAATATTTAGCTACACACAGCTTTTTCAAGGTTGATCCACGATTTCATTCTGGGACTTAAGTTGGCTTCATATCATCAAAGATACAGGGCTAAGGTAATATAGGATTTTGATTGGGTTATAAGTTAGGTCTAGGGCTAGGATTAGTTGGTACAGTGTTTGTTTAATGTTGGGCCCAGGGATGAAGTTAGTAAACTGACTGTTGACAACTTTTACCACTTCGCAATATTCGTCACAGCATGTGTTATACAACCATTTCAAGAGAATTAAAAGGAGAGAGTATACCTCTGACTTACATTTTCTTCTTCTTTCCTTTGACTACGACCCATTCATCGACCTTCTGAGCTGTTATAGGTGTGGTAGGATCCATCCATTCCTCACAGTGATCGGTCATCTTGGTGAAAAGCTTCTGTATCTCAGGGGTCAGCACAAACACTCGGCGTCGGGTCTCTGCGTACGCCTCGTGGGCTGCCCACTCTCGGAACTGCTCTCCGTCTGAAACAAGACGGAGGAACACAAATGATATTAATGATAATAATGATTATGATGATAATAATAATAATAACAGCAACAACAACAACAACGATACTACTGAAACATTGTAGTTTAATTGAGGTGATTAACAACTTTGAACTTTTGCTATTTACAAAAGTTTATGTCACAAAAACTGCCATCTTTAACAATTTGTAAAACAAAATCCTTTCTAAGCTTCCTTTTCGTAAGTATGAATGAACCTTGTACAATTTCTCGATTTTGTTGGTACAAGATGGTCAATGGGAAAACCAAGATTACTCAACAAGTACATTCTATAGTTTAGGGCTGATTTTTTACCTTGGAAATAGAGCCATTTCAAAGTGTAATCCCCCCCCCCCCCCCCCCCCCCCGCATTCAAAACAATTTACTATTCCATCTGCAATTACAGTCAAACCTGCTTTATTGACCACCTGTCTACAAAGACCACATTTTTTGTTTCCCTTGAAAATGGTTCATCATAAACTAAATGAACCTATCTACCAAGACCACTTGTGGTTTTTTCCCTTGGGCGGTCGCTATAGACAGGTTTGACAGCACTTTGTTCCTCAGATGTGAAATTAATGCATCCGTGTGCACTGCATGTCCCATAGTTTCTTACTCTACAAACAACAAAAAACATACAATTTTACTTGCTTTCTTAAAACTAAGATAAGCATAAACACAGACTATTAAAATGAGAATTGAAATGCATGAAGTTTGCAGACTCTCCATTAGAACTATTGGATATGAAACTTACCGACACCCCCCAGTAAATCATCTAGAGGAGGGTAGAGTTCATTAATGATTTCCATCCAGTCATCTAGCACCTTCTGACCAAGCTCTTCAGGAGTACGGAAGAACTGGATCTTCAGACCCTTGTTGATGAGCTTCTGTTTTAGAGCCGTTACTCTCATTTCTGTCTCCTCATCCTCCGCCATGTACATCTGTGTATCAAAATTAATAGAGAGAGAGAGAGAGAGAGAGACAGAGAAAGAGAAATAGAGAGAGAGAGAAAGAGAAGGAGAAAGAGAAGGAGAAAGAGAAGGAGAAAGAGAGAGAAAGAGAAAGAGAAAGAGAGATAAAGAGAGAAAGAGAGAAAGAGAGAAAGAGAGAGAGAGAGAGAGAGAGAGGGGGAGAGAGAAGATGATCAAATATTAAAACAAACATGAACTAAACATACAAAGGTCAGCAGTTTACTTCTTTTATATCATATGGAAGAAAAGCCATATAAAGTCTTGATATATGTCGGTTCTTAAATCCCAAATTTAATAACTATGTTCTCATCATATCTAGAGGTTAAGAAGAACCAATTTAAAGTCCAATTACAAGAATATACAAAAGGATCCACTTTGAATACCAGAAACACACTAACAAGAAAGTCAGGTTGATTTCCCATTCTGAAATAATGATAGATGACCAATTTTGCATTCACCGAAAAAAACAATCTTTGAGAAAAATATGTATCTATGGTTGAGGCATCCTAAATGTAAATCTAGAAGCAAATAGGTAACCATTAAACATAAGAAAGAGAAAACCTCTACATATTAACTCTAAATTTCATCTTTTTATTTAAATAATGAAGTGTTGATCTTCTCAGAAAAACTGTCAACACGCTATCTGTAGACCAAGCCTGGAAAAGTGACGGAAGAGTTATCGCCTTACTAGGAGCAATTAACGGGAAACAAACAACAAAACTAATCTCCTGCGAAAGAGACTTCCTGAACATTGCGAAACCAAAACCCAGTTCTGCACACTAAAACCACAACAAAATAAATTAGCAAATTGTCCTGAAATCATAAGTGTACATGTAAGCTAAAAAAATTAAAGTATTTGTAAATTCAATGATACTGTATCAGTTAATTTATTCTATTATCAAGGCAGTTAGTCAGTTACACAACCAGAAAAATGATCCTGCTCTCCAATTGTTTCTTATGAAACTGGATGATTCTATTTAGACTACAGTATCTGGATTCTGGAATATAACTTTTCAATTTTACATGTTTTCTGTTCATTTTGTACTTACAATACATGAATGGTGTATGTACGTGCCGAATGTGCTTTATGTGGAGATAAATTCAATTCAATTCAATTCAATGTAAATATCACAATAGGCCAAGTTTGAGGAACCTACATTCATTTACAATGGAGCTACTCAATCAATAGACATGATATCATAATGAATAGAATCTTTCCAGTATGTATTATGTAAATGATTTACATTAGCAGTTCATATCAACACACTGCCAGAGATTAGTGTATTGCACCATAGACAGTAACCCTCATTGGCTACACATGTACAGTATTGTAACGATCCACCCTCACAATATTATACTTGTAAACTGACTTCCATGCTAGCTGTCATATCTTTTATCTGAAACTTCTGAAAACATGCAGCTTGAATCATCCCATCCTTTCTTTTCTCAATCTTGTCTTATTTCTGTCTTTTCTCCTCTGTCTCCCTCTCTCTCTCTATGCTCTCTCTCTCTCTCTCTCGCTCACTCCGAGATCTTGCATACAGCCAGCCTATTTCTCATCATTCCTTCACATTCTTCATTTATAGGTAAACATTATCTCGATTAACTTTATTCCAGAAGTACCGCTGCGAGTTATAATCTGGATTGTGTGTGTTTTGTGTATAAATACCTGCTTACAAGCAAAAGTTTCTAGTTTGAAGAAGTCTAGTATGAACGGCTTCACGTATAAACACAACCGGAAGCATACGCGTACGTTGCTTCCGACACACTACTCACTAGATCCAATCTATAAATCGTAGAATATGCCTAAAAATTCATTATTTATGAAATATGTGATTAAGTTGTATATTTATTCAGATAGACAAACAAATTATCCCTAATATCATATTATTGTCTTAACAATCTCTTGTCAAAAACGTAAGAGAATTCGAATTTTGTACTTCTTTAAGTTTATTAACCAGGATCGGAATTCAGGTTGTGCGGTTGACGCGCATTATGTAAACAAACAGTGAATCCCAAATTCATGCTATGAAATATTTGTTTGTTAAATTTCTGCTCTTATTACAAAGGAGAGCTTGAAAAATGTATCTTATGCCTTGTATAAAGTTTCAAATAAACGCATTGTAATGTTTCCATTACTTAAGCAGTGTAACGTTTGGAATAAATAAGCATTTAATATTGAATTAATAAGGATTTTGAACTATATAAAGACCAGTTGCAATGTGTACGCGCGCATCTAGCTCTGTGCATGATCGCGGCGTTGCTTACAGCACGCGCATAGATTTCCCCCACGTACGCATAGATTTCCCCCACGTACGCATACAGTGTATACCCATAGGAAAGTGAAAAGTATGCCGCAGACCTGCCGCAGACCTGCCGCAGATCTGCCGCAGACCTGCCGCAGACTTTTAGTCTGCGGCAAAGAGTATGCCTAAGTATGCGGCAGAAAGAAATTTTGCTGCAGACTTGCCGCATACCATATGCCACAGGAACAGTCTGCGGCAGATCTGCGGCAGGATGAAATTTTGCTGCAGACTTGCCGCATACTAGTATGCCACAGGAACAGTCTGCGGCAGATCTGCGGCAGGATGAAACTTTGCTCCAGACTTGCCGCATACTAGTATGCCACAGGAACAGTCTGCTGCAGATCTGCGGCAGGATGAAATTTTGCTGCAGACTTGCCGCATACTAGTATGCCACAGGAACAGTCTGTGGCAGATCTGCGGCAGGATAAAACTTTGTTCCAGACTTGCCGCATACTAGTATGCCACAGGAACAGTCTGCGGCAGATCTGCGGCAGGATGAAATTTTGCTGCAGACTTGCCGCATACTAGTATGCCACAGGAACACTCTGCGGCAGATCTGCGGCAGGATGAAACTTTGCTCCAGACTTGCCGCATACTAGTATGCCACAGGAACAGTCTGCGGCAGATCTGCGGCAGGGCGAAACTTTGCTCCAGACTTGCCGCATACCAGTACACCACAGGAACAGTCTGCGGCAGGTCTGCCACAGGAAATCCCATTAAAGTCTAATAGGGCCAATTGAAACCAATCATCTCATGCATATTCATTATTACTTTACACGTGTGACAGAAAAATACATTTATCATGATTTGTTAAGCAAATTAAGACAATGCACATCATTTTTGTGATTTCTATTTTCCTTTTGCCATTATTAACCAATAGATTATTTTGTCTGATCATGTTACAATTACATTCACGTTTAAGCAATAGATATATTGATTACTAACGAAGAAACTATGATTACTAACCAAGAAACAATATACATATTTAGTATATATATGTGTACGAGCCTGTCTCACTTTAAATGTTACTCTTGAATACACTTCAAATGATCAATGTGATGAAGTTAATACAATTGAGAATAGAATATACCTAATTGGTAATATCGATATCTATTGGTATTACCTAATTGGTAATATCGATATTGCCAATATAATATTGCCGATATAAATATTCATGATGAAGAGTCTGCGGCAGGTCTGCCACAGACTTGCTGCAGACCTGCCGCAGACTCTTCATCATACTGAAAGAGTAAGCGGCACTAGTCTGCAGCAAGTCTGCGGCAGTCTGCGGCAGACCTGCCGCAGACTCTTCATCATACTGCGGCAGGTCTGCCGCAGACAGTCATCTTTTTCACATGCAAATTAGTTTTGCCGCAGACTTGCCGCATACTCTTTCAGTATGATGAAGAGTCTGCGGCAAGTCTGCGGCAAGTCTGCGGCAGACCTGCCGCAGACTCTTCATCATACTGAAAGAGTATGCGGCAAGTCTGCAGCAAGTCTGCGGCAGACCTGCCGCAGACTTTTCATCATACTGAAAGAGTGTGCGGCAGGTCTGCAGCAAGTCTGCGGCAGACCTGCCACAGACTCTTCATCATACTGAAAGAGTATGCGGCAAGTCTGCAGCAAGTCTGCGGCAGACCTGCCGCAGACTTTTCATCATACTGAAAGAGTATGCGGCAAGTCTGCGGCAAGTCTGCGGCAAAACTAATTTGCATGTGAAAAAGATGACTGTCTGCGGCAGGTCTGCTGCAGATCTGCGGCAAGTCTGCCGCAGGAGTATGCGGCAGGCTCATTTCTTTCCTATGGGTATATAAGATAGATTTTTCGGATTCGGGGCGATTCGGCAGAATCGCGCAACGAACTGGTCCAAACGTCGTCTCGCAAGAGCCGCCCAAACAAATTGGTCCAAACTTAACACTAAATTTTAAATAACATTGGCTAATTTTTAAACTCTCCTTCATAAACAAACAGGTATAGTTTCTTAAAGTTAATATAAAGTCCATTACCAATTTACAGTGTTATAGCAGACAGATTTTATAAACATGAGTATTAACTTGTGTGTATATGTATATATTATATAAAGACTTATTAAATTTGTAACAGTGGCGATAATATTATTGATGTAAAGAAAGAAATGATTAAATGAAGTTTTTGTTTTTGTGTTCAAACTAAAAATCTTGTCTCAAACAAATGTGTTCTTCTTTTTGAGTGTCAATTTAGTATTCCATTTACCTGTATTTCTATAGTCATATATTTTGACTAAAACGAATTAAGATTTTATAAAGATACATCGCTTCCTATCTCTCTTTCACGAGATATGGCCACAAATACCAGGCTCGCCGTGAGCGAAGGTAGGGGCGATGCGGTCGACGCCCTCAACGAGGGCGACGGCCGGTACAAAAATGGTGTCAGAAGTGGGATGGAAATACAGGTAGAGACTAATGGAATTGAAGAAAACACATCCAAATTGAACCAAAATAATGAATGGGAACAAGATGAACTTGAAGAAAATTTGGCAAAGTGTCAGAAAATGGAAAATGACTCGAATAATTCTTCAGAAGAAGAAACCACACAAGTGAAGAAATCTAATTCTAGAAAGAAACGAAGCGTGCAAAACAGAATTCTTTCTAGACTAACCCAACTAATGGAACAAATGATGACCTT